TATATATATAGCCACCGTGTTTATCTCAATGGCTTCTTGATGCAGGAAGTTCAAAGCAAAGTCTGAATGTGCATCTTCTACTAATGAAAGATATCACCTCTACCATGAGTTCTGATTCATCAAACCAACATTTTCCCCCCTCCTCCAGAGCTCCTTCCTGCCCATGGCAGGGGGTCGGACTAGACAATCTAGGTCCCTTCTGACTCACTGATTTTATGATTCTATAACTATATTTTTGCAAAAAAAATAAAGTCTTTATTTGCAAGTTTTTAAAGAATTTTTTTGCAAAACTCTAGGCGGTCTAATAAAAGATATCACCTCTACCACGAGTTCCGATTCCTTTTGCCTCTAGACCAATATGGCTACAATCTGGATACTCATCTTCTACTAAAGGATTTCATTCTTTGATTGGCAGGCATATAAAGATAAACAATTCAGAGGGCTTTTCTATCAGCAAACAATATATGTACATAATAAGCATTAATAGGAGTTCTGCATATAAACTGCCCTCCGGCGGTACCAAAACTGACCGTGCACAGAATGCTTCTACACAGAGAATTACATTAAACATCTAACATTTCTTACCTGTATGGTAAAACGTGAGGAAAAACAAAAGGACGCCCATGAACACATTACTCAAAAAGGTGACAACTCCACATGTGATTCCTTCTGGAACTGGATAGACTGTTTCCACAAAAAGCTCAAAGAATATAGGTATGCTGCTATTGAGGAACACTCCTAGCAAAATGCAGGATGTATACAGTGTGGCTACAATGGAAACAAAATAGAAACAGCAATGAGTTATGTCACCGTTTTCCTACAATAGCATGTTATTGCAGTCTGTAAGCCCTCCAGACAGATGCACCTTGTTTGGGGAAGGCAGAGTGAAACAAATATTATTCTAGGATCACAGCTGAATTATGGCTGCAGGGGATTTAGACTGAATGGCTGAATCCCGACTGGCCCTGCTTGGGTAAAGGCTGATGTGTTAACCCTCTCACAGCCACTGGGGATTCAGCAGCAGCTGTGAAAGGGTTAATGTTATAGTCCTAACCCTGAAGGATGAACTCCAGCCCCTCCTTCCTCGAGGTTGGTAGTGGGGAGAAGCACAGCATCCACTTTAAAACATCCCCATGATTTCATTCCTCTATTCCAGCCTAGAAAGCCAGCTTCTGCACTTAAGACATGCAACTCAAATTTTGGATGGCTGAGTTTAGGGGGAAAAGGGATGTGTAGTATACAAGGGAATAGGATACTTCAAAACAAAGATGCTCTGGTACTGACGGACAAGACAGAATAATCAGATCTATTTTTTTACCCACTGTACATCACAGCATATATCATGTCTCACTGCTTGTAGTTGGCATTTATTATTTGGTTTGAAATTCAGAAATGTATATTTACATACAGAATTGAATTCCTGTAGATCCATTCAATACCGTGGAGTCCACTTACCAAACGGGAATCCTTGAGGGAAAAAATTAATGCAAAGAGACATCCAAGCCGAGTTATTTCCTAAGCGAACAATAACTACTGCTCCACATACAATTAGATACTGAACTGCATTAAAAGCGAACGGAAAATTAACCTTTCAACTCAGTGTCAGAGGTAGAAACTAATTTTTGCTTCCATTGTACAAACAAATGCTTATGATTTCCCAGACAGTAGAGCATTAAGATTTGCCATGACCTGACTCGTGAGATGTTGAAATTCCCATTTGTCGAATGGTAATTAAATATACTCAGTACCTGCCAGGAATGACTCCTACTTGGCAAAGGAAATTTTTTACTATTACAGAATTCCTATTTTTCTTCCTGGGTACATAATAATAGAATATAGTCATTTCTCTGATTGGCTTTGTTCTGTGACTTCAGATGTTATTATATTCCTCGCACTAATATAGATGTTTTGTACAACTAATATATGTCTACTGGCACTATACAAAAATATATATGTTTTTCTTTTTTTTACCCACCAGCTTTTAAAGGCTCTGAATGATGACAGCTAATTTTAATGGAACTGTAGCTTCTCCTTAAGAGCTGTCCTAGGAAAGAAGGATTTTCTGAGCTGGGACCTTTGTGTCTTGAGAAGACCAATTACATATAAGGGGGAGGGGAGAAATGGAAACCATTTACTAGAAGACTGAAAAGGGTAGTAGAAGTCTGGAATACTTATTGAAGACTCTGTAAGGGCACCAACTGTATGTAAAGATGCATCCTTCAGAAGTATAGACATTTCCTAGTTGATGGGAAAAGACTACACCTGATGACAACATCTCTACACTGTAGTATGTTAGCAAATCTTTTAGTATATGAAATTCAAGTAGGCTTCTATTTTTCCATACTATACCAAAATGTTTTGACAAGGGGAGAACTGAAAAGCGCTACTTCATCAGAAGTTAAACACTGATCAGTCCCACAACTGAGGAATGGTTAGTGAGCAGGAAGCTTTTGGCTAAAAACACATGCATTATTTGTTAAGACATGAGGGATCAGAGAATGGAGATAAAGCCTCAAGAAAGATGGCATAAATGGCAGTCAGTCAGATCATTCATTTGATATTGTTCTCTTCCATGCATATTTCTTTCTGTAGAGAAGGATTTACACAGAAAGGAAAAAGAGAACAGAAAAGGCTACCAGGAAGATGATATAGATGGCATAGCTTTGGAAGGGGACTGATTAGGTTGGCTGCTCTTTTTGTAACAGACCTGGAGGCGATTTTTTTGTTTGTTTGTTTTTTTTTTTTAATAAAAAGGACCTAGGAGCTTTCTTGAGCTCCTGTAAAATCTTTTATTACCAGCTGCAGGGTGAAAGTCAGAGGAGCAGTTCCAAGATAAGTTCACCAGAGTTCTGCAAGTGAGAAGAAAATTTAGTATCGTGAAGCCATCGGGCTCTTTTATCTGAAAGGGAGCAACCAGTTCTTCCTGCCACAATATCCATAGATTTTGCTGCAAGTTCTCATTGGTATTTTGGAGTTAGTAAATCTCCCTCAGGTTCTAGTTGCATACAGTAATTCAGCCTCTTACTTTAACAATCTTTTAATTCCTGTTCAATAAGTAGCAACCATAGCTTTTGTTTTTTTAAGCTGTAGCTACCCATTTAAGCAGTTTTGGATGCTAGAGAGAAAAAAGGATGAGTATTGACTTAAGACGTTACAGAATGGAAAGAAAGGCCAGATCATCTCCTCTTCTCCCATAAAAGTGTCAGGCAGAGGCAGATTCCTTAGCACTTTCCAAACAGAAATTACACAAGGAATAATTCATTCTGCAGTAGAAGAAATTTCAGATGGTGAAAATATATTAACCAAACTTCAAAGACGACAGCACCTCAAATTCTACGTAGGAGCAAGTGCAGTTTACGCATCTAGTTTGCATGAACTGTGGTATGGAAAATAAATCAATTACTGTTAACAGAGCAATTACCAATAAGGCACTAATGGCGTGACTTGGGAGAATTTAATGTAATAAAGTTTAGTCCGGAAAAGGAAGCAATTGGCAAGATGGAAATAATTTAGTTGAGGATGGAGTAAATATGCTATCATGAATTTATGAATGCAGATTCTGCAGGCGAAAAGGGAAGCATGGAAAGGATACTGAGACTGTCGGCTGAATACTCATTGCAGAATCCCTGCTGCTCAAGATAACAGTTACAAATCATATTTGTATAGTGACCTCTCCCCAGCCCTAGCTACTTGGGAACCTGAATAAATATCTACAGTAACACCTTTCACCATATATATTATATATAAAATAAATTTTAATGATTAAAATAATGAAAAAAACCAAAGCAAGAGGTTGGATGCTAAAGGCAAAAAAACAAACCAAAATAAGCAAACAGCAAAAAAAGAAAAGCACAGCTCCCAGAATGAGGCTGCAGGCCTGGCAGTTAGTAACTATATCTTTTATATAGTAAACTAAAAAAACAAACAAACCGCAAATCAAGAAATCTGGGAACGGCAGAGGATTAAAAACCCGGAAACCTTCAAAAAACGAATTTATAGGGTTACCCCATAAACTGTAAACACACTTTAACGCTTAGGAAGAAATATTTTCATCCTGTGTTCTTGTAAAACATCTAGGATCCTTCTGAGTGCCATAAACAAAATGATTTTATTGCATCAATTCAGAGTTTAAAAGACAAAAGCAACTGATCAACAGCACTGAAAATCACAGATACAGGAAAAACGTTTTAGAAGTCAGATAAATAAGGGTTTCAAAATGTGTTTAGCCTCATGTCATATGCTGTAGTGATGACGGTATTTTATACCAGCCCAAGGGGCAACACAGCTGCTGTAGTTCAGTGAGTGCCACCTATAAAATGGAGTCCATTTACTTCTCATAACAGGGACTTTGCACTGAATGATTATTAAAGAGCCCCATGATTTTTTATAGTGTAAAAGAACTGCTGCTAAAATTACTCTAAATGTTTTTTCAATTAAGAACCCCTGATGACAGGCATTGGCACCGAGTATAAGCAAGAACAAATCCTAGAGAAAAGAGGATTCAAGAAGCGGGGACTACTCCTTCCTCAATTTCTCATTCCAAAAAACAGAAGAAACTCACATCTGCTTGGATAGAAATAGACACTGGGGATGTACAGATCATAACAGAACAGTGTTTCTCCCTTTCCTGTGAAAAGCAATTAACTAGGAAAATTGCTGGGGATAAAGGCATACATCTGAGTCTCTCACCTTAGTGAGCTCTGGCCATTTAGAAGTAATGGAACCAGGGTGATTATTATTAGATATTTTGTAAAGATACTGTGACACAGGACTTGCTATCTAAGGAATCTGTGCATTAAAGCAGCTATTTTGCAGGCCTGCTGCCACATCACGAATTGCACAGGCAAACATGCATCCAAAGCAATGCTGCTTCGGCTGTTCCGGGGCCAGATTTCTCTTCGAGACTACTGTGGCACTGCCTCCATGGCAGCCTTAAGCAAAAGGCTCGTACGAGTCGTGCGATGGTCATGTTTGAGATGCCAACAAGCCAGGGTCCTCATTCCCCTGCTAGCTGTTACTACTACATGCCACAGTGGGAGCATCACGGGTAGGAAAAAACAAAACATGTCAGTTATATAAAAGGAAGTGTTAAGGTGGCTTATTACAACAAGTAAAACGTGGGTAGAAGCTTGGTTTCTTTTGGATTTTTATAATCGCTGCAGGCCTGCTTACATATACCAGACTTCCAGACTGACAGACAGATGCATGCATTTAATCTGTCATCTGCTACAAGTGCTTACCCTGCAAGGAACAGAGTTGAATTGGGGAAGCGCTCGCACACGGTGGTGCCTGTTTACTTATCTGCAGCTGAGCTGAGGATACCGCACAACCTCCTTGAGTATCTTCCAGGCATACACATAAACAACGTTCCAGGGCAGCCGTGTTCCAGGAAAGTCCCCGGACACACATTTGGCAGTCGCCTCTTGGAGCACACCCTCCTCATAACACAACTGCACATTTAGCATCTGAGCCAAGCCCAGTGGTATTGATGGAAAAGCTCCTGTGGATTTCAACCAATTAGCGCCCTGAGTGTGGGGTGTGCACGCACACATGTGCGCGCATTTAATTTCTATGCTGTCACTGCTTAAATGTTCGCAAATACTCTGTGGGGTGAATTTAATTCTCATGAAAGTGACAGCTAAAAGCCTAAAGACTGCTGACTGCAAGCAGGTGGTGTTGTGCAAACTTCCCTAAACCACTCTGCCAATAAATCCTGACCTCCTAATTCCCTGGTACATTCCAGTAATGTACCTCTTATGAGCAGATGG